AGCCAGGATGGTCTCGAGCTCCTGACCTCGTGATCCGCCCGTCTCGGCCTCCCAAAGAGCTGGGATTACAGGCTTGAGCCACCGTGCCTGGCCTTTTTCTAGAGTCTTAAAGTGGAAGCTTAGATGATTGATTTTAGACCTTCCTTTTTCTATAATACAAACTATAAATTCTCTTTGAGCACTGCTTTAACTTCATCCCACATATTTTGATATGTTGCCTTTTAATTAGTTAGCATTTATATTAAAATATAAAAATGGCCTTGTCATTTGTTTTCTGTTTATGAAATCCATTCTTTGATTCTTTTTTCTTCTTTTTGTCTTTATATTGATTGTTTTAGTATCCCATAGAATTTTATCTCTTTTATTGTCTAGGTAGCTGTATTTCTTCACCTTTTTTCTTGGTGATTACTTTAGGGTTTTGTGGGTGGAAAAAACATGCTCAACATGTTTTCTACTCTGATCTCACGTCACAACAATCATCAACACAGAAAACTTCTGTGACTAAATGTGTGTGGGTTTTCCCCTACACATCAAGCAGCAGATACCAGCTAGGTGTCCTTGAATTCAGTTAAATTCTGATACTGTCTACCTGGAAATAGCCTCAGACCCCACAGGTTGAGGGCTCAGTCCCCAAGACTGCTCCCTCCTTCAGGCACTATTCCAAGTCCAGGCCTCTGGAACTTCTCACCAACTGGCTCCAAGTTGGGGTTCTCACAACACCCTCTTTGGAGTCAATTAATTTGCTAGAGTGGCTCACAGAACTCACGGAAACACTTATGTTTACCAGGTTATTATAAGAGATATTGCAAAGGATACAGATGAAGAGATGCATATGGGGAGGTATGGGGGAATGGCATGGTACTTCTGTGACCTCTCTGGTTATGCCACCCTCTAAGAACCACCAGGTGTTCAACTATCAGGAAGTTCTTCAAACTCAGTCCTTTTGGGTTTGTTGTTGTTGTTGTTGTTTCTTTGTTTTTGTTTTTTAGACGGAGTCTTGCTCTGTCACTAGGCTGGAGTGAAATGGCACGATCTAGGCTGACTGCAGCCTCCGCCTCCTGGGTTCAAGTAATTCTCCTGCTTCAGCCTCCCAAGTAGCTGGGACTACAGGCACACGCCACCATGTCCAGCTAATTTTTGTATTTTTAGTATAGACGGGGTTTCACCATGTTGGCCAGGATGGTCTTGATCTCCCTCGGCCTCCCAAAGTGCTGGGATTACAGGTGTGAGCCCCCATGTCTGGGCTGGTTTTTCTGGAGGCTTCATTATATAGACATGATTGATTATATTATTGGGCATCCACTTAACCTTCAGCTCCTCTCCCCTCTCCGGAAGTCGGGATGGGACTGAAAGTTCTAATTCTATAATCATGCCTTGGTCTTTCTGGTGAGCATCCCTAATTCTGAAGCTAACTATGGGCTTCCAGCCATCAGTCAACATTAGCAAACAAAAAGGCATCACTGTGGATATTCTCAGGATGTTAGGAGTTGTATGCCAGGAAACGGGTTGAAGACTATGTACTTAATAATATCACAGGTTTACATTATGTATTTTTAGTGTATCAAATCTACAATATCATACTGTATCACTTGAAAGTAAGGAACTTACAAAAATATACTTTGGCCAAGCACAGTGGCTAACGCCTGTAATCTAGCACTTTGGGAGACAGAGGCGGGTGGATCATATGAGGTCAGGAGTTTTGCCACGTTGGCCAGCTGGTCTCAAACTCGTGACCTCAAGTGATCTGCCCACCTCAACCTCCCAAAGTGCTGGGATTACAGGCGTGAGCCACCACCGCTCCTGGCCTAATGCCTGAAAGTTTTGTTTCATGTTTTATCTAATTTTCTAGGTCTTTAGGGTAAGAGGGCAAGTTTGGTAACAATTGATCTATTTTTGTCTGGAAATGGAAATCCCTCCTGTGTCCTTTTGATACATTGCTATCATTCATTCAGCATTTCTTTATTTTCTGGCAGAAATATTTTCAGCTTATCTTATACTTTTTCTGCTTTAGCCCTGGAATCAGCCATTTCTTCAAGAAGCCTTATTTCCTTTTGGTGAAGGACAGTATTTAGAAACCAAGATGTACACACTTAGAGTACTAAATGCTACTTGGATGTTGCTGCTTCTAGCTGTAGCAGGGCAGGAGAGCCCCAAATTGGGCTTAGCCCAGGAATGTTGCTGCTTCTAGCTGTAGCAGGGCAGGAGAGCCCCAAATTGGGCTTAGCCCAGGAATGTTCTTGGCCTTGCTCAGGATGGAATTTAAGAGCAAGCTGGTGGTAGAAGAAAACAATCTTATTGAGGTGGCAATGTTACAACTCTGTAACTACTGCAGAGTGGGACTACTCCATAGACAGTGTGTTGAGAGTAGCAGCTCAGGGGCAGTTCTGCAGTCATTTATACCTACTTTAACTTATGTGAAAATTAAGGGGTGAGTTATTCAGAATTTTCTAGAAAAAAGGTGGTGCTTCTGGGTTGTTGCCACGGCAGAGGACAGTCACTTCTGGGTGTTGCCATTGGCAATGGTAAACTGACAGGGCACTGGTGAGTGTGTCTTACAGAGAGTTGCTTTCACCTCTTCCCTGTTTCGGCTAGTCTTCAACCTTGTCTGGAGTTGAGTCACCTCATAGCCACCCTCAGTAAACAGCCACCCTCAGTAAACCTTCTACCTCATAGCCACCCTCAGTAAACAGAGCTAGGAAATGTATGTATGTAAATAGGTTTTCACACACAGATTTATCTGTAAATATTTCTGTATCTATTTGTGCATTTATATTGTAAAACCATGAGTTCATAATGATAGCTCCAATTCTAGTACACCAGGTTTTTTCAGGCCTTCTCCCTTTCCATGTTGTAAATACCTTTTCTGTCAGTTAAAGACTTTGCTTCCGCCAGGCGCGGTGGCTCACGTCTGTAATCCCAGCACTTGGGGACGCCAAGGCGGGTGGATCACTAGGTCAGGAGTTCGGGACCAGCTTGGCTAACATGGTGAAACCCAGTCTTTACTAAAATTACAAAAATTAGCTGAGCATGGTGGCGGGCGCCTATAATCCCAGCTACTCCGGAGGCTGAGGCAGGAGAATCGCTTGAACGCAGGAGGCTGAGGCTGCAGTGAGCCGAGATCACGCCACTGCACTCCAGCCTGGGCAACAGAGCAAGACTCTGTCTCAAAAAAAAAAAAAAAAAAGACTTTGCTTCCATTATCCTCAATATATTTATTTATTCATTCAATTTACTTACTTGCTAAATGAAGCCAATTTTCTTATGATACCAGCTGTCTTCTCCACCTAACATCTCCATGCATTACCCATCCAGTCACTGCCTGGGTGAATTCCCCAGTGTTCCCTCATTCCCTCAGTTCCTAGGTTGACACAATTATACTTATAATAAGAGAAGAGAAAGGTAGGGGACAGGACGTTGCATCTTCATTGGGTCACTGTTCTGTGATGTATTTGTTCATTAGTTCATTTATTCATTCACAAATACAGACTTCTCAGTATGTAAATATGGATCAGACACTATGCCAGGCAGAAACAAGGACAAACATATACAGCCACTGCTCTCAAGGAGGCTACATTGCAGTGGGGAATA